AAATATATATATATATATATATTTAAATATTATATATATATATATATATATAAAGTCTGTGTTTACATAATATATTTGTGTGCTGTATATAATTATTTTGTATATATAAATACACACACATGCATGTATATATTTAAGAAAATGTGTTATTCATATATAAAATATTTATATTTATATAATATAGATTATGTATTTATACATATATACAAAATTTAAGTGCAAATAATTCTTAAATATATACATGCATAGGTATTTACACACACACAAATATATTATGTAAACACAGACTTTTATTTTGGATGCGATTAATGGCAATTAATTTTTGCACAGCCCTAATATATATATATATATATATATATATACAGTGCTCAGTGGTGAGTGAATGGGTGAATGTGAGGCAAAAATGTAAAGCGCTTTGGTGGCCATTGGGTCAAATGTAGTCCATTACCATTAAATGCAGTAATAATTTCCTTTAAAAAATCTTACTGCCCCCAAACCTTTGAACAGTAATATCAGGTTCACGCTGCACTTCTCACTGGAAATGGAAAGTCAAGTGAACGCATTGCATTATGGGAGAATGCACAGTGTTACATTTTGAAAAAAGCAATAGGTCTACACATTCAGAATATACATACTGCAGTACTTATAAGAGTAGAATGGCTGAGTGTTATCAGAAGAGATTATTCATGCACTAAATAAAGGATCAGTCACACAAATGTACAGCAGCATGAAACAGGTTCACAATGAAGCCCACACTCAAGCACAGCAGTTAGGATCGCTTTGAAGGAGAAAGCAGGCTAACTCTGCACCTCAGAGGCAGACACAAAGGAAAGCCTGTTCCACTGGCCTGTCGTATGAACGGACAGGCTTTTTTTCAATGAGTTATGACTCGATTCACATTTGTCCGTTGTCTCGATGGACACCCACAGCGTTCCAGCGACGGCCTTCTGATACAGTACACAAAACACACAGAACACACAGAGAGAGCTTTACATTGCCCCTGCTAAATATGGGTTTGTTACACTTACGAGCTACATGACGGAGTTATGAATCACAAATATTATATAAAAAAAATGTATACAGAATAGTGGACAAAAATTGATGTCCGGAGGGGATATATATATATATATATATATATATATATATATATATATATATATACAAAGTATATATATATATATATATATATATATATATATATATATATATATACATATATATATATATCATTGGTTGGTACAAAAAAGAGTAACACTTTACTTGAAGGGGTGTGCATAAGATAACAAAGACATCTTTATTATGACAAATGCAAATATGACATTGTTTGAGATGTCTTTGTTATGAAACCTTGGCATAACCCATAACATCATAACCTGTCAGTGCCTTTGTCATGACAACTTGAGATTATTAAGACAACACAACCTGTCATAAACATGACATAGCAAATTAATGATCAAACTTAAGAAAGCACCTAGCTTTATGGTTAACATTGCATTAAACTGTCAGTTGGCTGGTTTTGACATCGGCTGTCATGAAGCCATTATACTTTTTTAATGACAAATTCAATGTAGTTGAGTTCACGGAAAATATTCATGACACAGTTATATGGCCTCGTGACAGCCAAAGTCAAAGCCAACAACATGACAGTTTAACTTAATTTATGTCAAGTTGTCATGATAAAGTCACTTACAGGTTATGATGTTATGTTTATGCCAAGATGTCATAACAAAGACATCTTAAACAATGTCATATTTGCATTCAAAATGTCATTATTGAGCAAAAGACACTTAATGACATTTGTCATAAACATCCATAAACCCTCATAATCAAGACACATGTCATGTCATGGTTATGAAGGTGTCATGTCAGTCTAATGCACGTAAAGTGTTATATTCAAGTAAAGTGTTACCCTTTTTTTGTATTTCAATTTTTTATTTTATTTTTGGAGAACCAGGTGAGACAATGAATTAAATTGAGCTCAATTGTCTTCAGTAGAGCTGCCTTACAGTTAAAATAGAAGTTGTATTAATTTTTCAACATTAACTATTTTTCTGTTTATTACTGTGAAGCTGCCTTGAAACACTTTGTATTGTATAAAGCGCTCTATAAATAACTGTGACATGAACTAGCTGATACTTTAATTAAACATAACTACTGTAAGAAAGGGAGAGATCACCCACAAATTAAACTTCTGCCATCTTTACTCTTTATATTTAGTTGTTCCAAATATGAATTTCATTCTTCAGCTAAATACAGAAGAGCAACCAAACAGTTGACGCTAGCCATTGACATAGTAGGACAAAATATCGCAAACAGTTCCTTCTGAGCAATATATGTACCAGTATTACAATATCACTTGAATGTAAAAACAGAAAGTGGCGTATATGTTTACGCAAAAGTTATGATGTCATGTTGCGAACTCAATCAAACAAATGCAGCAGGGCTGATCAAAGGTTGTTCTCTGAAATGTGCATTGGTCCTGGTAACCGTGTTTAGGCTGTGATTCACAAGGCGGTATCAGTTCCCGTTCTGCTCTCTAGTAGTATTTGAAGAGCATTTGGATAAAGCAAGTAGCACTTCACAACAAAAACAAAGTACTTGAGCTGATGATGTCACTGACCAATAAGTGCTCTCTTTGAATGAACACTATCTGTGCATGGAATCTCCAACAAACAGAGCATGTGATGCAGCCTGTGTCTTTGACCCACATATATCATATAGATTCAGTGCTTCTACATTGTTACATTGGCCAAAGTGTGTGAGTGACACACAAGAGATAACAGACACCTGTCCCTAACATTACCGTATCCCACCTCAAAGGAAGCAAAAGTATTTTGCAATACAACATGAACACATTAAATAACTACATTTTACTTAACAATTTTTTTTCCTGACATACTTAGTAGTTAAAGACACATAATATAAAGCGAAAACAGTATATTGTATTTACATTTACTACATTAGTCTGATAATTTAGTGAAAAAAACATTCAGAAGTGGCCAAAAGTGATGTTCGGCCTTGGAAAACCAACATCTTCACCATATATTCAAATGATAGTCTATTAAAAATGCATTTAAGATTTTTTAAACATATTGCATAGTTGTGTTTGGAGTCAATTATTTTATTTGTAATAATGCAATGAAAGTGCAAACTAATGTGCGGACATCATTTTTGTCCAGGCTGTCAAATAAATTGTGAACACAAGAAAAAAATGAGACAATCAATGAAATATTAATATGCTCTTGTTTTGCATATAGTGAAATAAACCCTGTAGCTGCAGTTTTATTGCCAAATAATTTTGTCAGAGAAATACCTTAAACAAGTTGTGTTTTGTTCTTCCCTCATATTTAAAATATATAAAATATTTTCCTTATATTTTGATGGTTTAATTAAATTTGTAGGGCCATTCAAAAAAAAAACATCCTCTCCAGACATCACTTTTGGCCACTGCATTTGGATAAATGTAACTTCTGCTTGCTGTCTAGGATGGAGGGGTCGACCCTTGAATCACCCCTGAACTTAGATGAATTACTAATAAAGTAGACATAAAGGCGTTAGGTTATGTTTATTTATGAAAATTTGTTCAATTATACTAATATTTATACAAAAATGTTATTATGTTGCTTTGTTTTTATTTTGTTGATTTAAAGTACCCATCGTGTAGGCTACAAAAATCAGAAAGCAATATTTTGCGTTTATATATCATATATATTTAGGGATTTCAGAGTGCTTGTACAGATCAAAAAAGGAAACATGGTAGCTTACATGTAAAAAAAAAAAAAAAAAAAGGAAAAAAAAAAATTGTAGGACCGAAGCGTCCTCTAGTGGTGAAGTAAAATCACAGAACTCCAGAACATCATATAAAGGTGCGCGTTTATTATTGTGAAATGATTTCGCTTTTTTAACAGCTTTTCAGAATTGCTAATACGTTAAACCCCATTCTCTGTAGGTAGCAAATTCTCCAAAGGCCTAAATCCATTTGCCGAATGAATCACTCTTTCTGCAAAACCTTAAACAAGTTCAGACAGAGACACCATTTGCAAATCTCATGCTCTGGATGCTGTGTTATTCTTTTTTTTTTTTTCATGTAGTGTCTAATGAACGCTCTACACCCTGATGTGACCTATAGGCCTATACGCCTTATTCACGGCAGCGCCATCTTTGATTTTTAATGAGAATGAAAGCGAGGCTGTGAGGGATAGACTTGCATCTCTTCAATGGGCTGTATTGTTATTTAATGTGTTTTCGGATTGTTCTGCTCATGAAACACTGGAAAAAATATCTTTCTAAGAAATGTCAGTTGACAAAAAACTCCCGACAATGTAAGCTGTGGAAAATTGTAAGTAATCTAGCCGCTTTATTCAGCTTTTTACAGCGGATGTCATTGGAAACACAGTAAGTCTATCCCTCACAGCCTCACTTTCATACCTGTCATGGCGCTGCTCTGAATAAGGTGTATTGATTTTGAGAACAGGTGAGATAGGTTTTAGGCAATCGTTTGATTTGGAAGAGTCGGTGGTTTTGTGAATGTAGTTTTAAGATTTGGTTTTGTGTTAATGTTGTGAGAAAATGGGTAAAGGTTTCTAGAAATGTGTTTTAGCTATTTTATGGAAGGAGAAATTATGAAAGAAATGGCGTTTTTTTTTATTATTATAATTTTTTTATTAATGCTTAACACAATACACAAGTATAACAGAATACAAACATACGAAAAATAAATAAATAACAAAAAAATAACAATAAAAGAAATAACAATAATATAAATTAAACATTCTGATACATTATAAGAATTAGGCTACATGACACAGAAAAGGGGAAAGGAATTACAAACAGATAGCCTAACGTTAATGTTTTTAAGGCTTTCTTATTTTCAGACAACTTAATTGAAAATACATATTTTTAAAGTTCTTTCACAAATATAAGAAAGAGAGGTTTGGCATTTAGATATTTAGATACGGAAAAGAAACGGCGTTCTCACGACACGCAGGTCGTAATGTGACGCGGCGGTGACGTCGCGGAGGGGGAAGTTTTAGTTGTTTTTGCTCGTCTACTGTAGCATTGGACCAGAAACCGGCAAAACCAGAGTCTCTGGTCCCGGTTTATTCACAATAATGTGCCAATGAATCCCTCGTGTAGTTGAGGCTGTAGTCGATGAAGGAATGGAGGTGCTGGACAGTCCTCTCAATCTCGTAAGTGTTTGTTTACAAGCCACATTAGCATGCTAGCTGCGGTTAGCTTAGCCGCATTTAATCACTGAACAAATTAAAATACAGCTGCGAAGAGGTTTACCGGTCCGGAAACACATGCTGCTCTTTACCCGGGGTTTTAATTCCGATAACCGTGACTTCCAGGCTTCATATAAAACGTGTAGGTTTTTTATGTAAGTTAGTGTGTTAGAGTTAACGTTAGCCTCTAAGTGTGTGTTTGTTTACTGCTGACAGCTGATCACCTTTAAACAAACAAACACACAAAGTAGCCTAACGTTACTTTATTAACATATGATTCTAAATGTGTGTGGTTTATTATTTCCTAGAGTCTTTTGACATTTATGCCAGTACGTTATTGAGATGAAGATCTCTTGTGGAAATGCTTCTATTTTGTTTAAGTTTTTCATTGTAAATTATATTATCAGCATGGCAAAGATAAAAGCAAATCATTGGATCTGTATACGTGTGTTTTGTTGTTGACATTTTTCTCCCTCTGCTAGCTATATTGTGATAAAATAACTTAATAAATGTTATTTAATTAAGAAAACAAAAATATTAAATAAATACAATATACAAATATATGATGTAAAAGTTGGTCTAGACATATATTAATTTACATGGCTCCATCAGCCCATCATCGTCAGCTTTATTTTATTACTAATTTGCTTTAACAAGTATGTAGTAGAGGAAGAACCCTCCATCATAGACTGATTATCTGTACTGTTATCAGTCTGAAGTGTTAACGAACACATGATGAAATAATGTAATATGTTACATCATCTCTTTCAGGCCCATCAACAGTGCAGGAAAGCCGACCGCTTGGTGGCTGCTGGGAAATTTGAAGATGCCATCTCCTGCCACAGAAAAGCTGCAGGTGGGTTTCTCTTTTAAGTGATTCTCATGGGAACGTCTATAAAAAGACATCTGCGTGGCACCTTAGTGAAACAATTGGATGATATAATTTAAAAAACGAATGGTAAGTAGCTGTAATAAGTACATTTTTTACAAGGAATTTAGTTGGGCAAGCTGTAATTTTGGCTACATAAATGTAGATAACAAATATGTTTTTTAAATGATTGCATACTATAATAATGGCCTATTTAAAATGTACATGATTTACTTTCATACAGCTCCCATTCACTATAGTGGAGCGGAATATTATTCTTGTAAACAGTTTCCAGGATTTCAGTAATACAAGTCTCCATCTTTGTAGTTTATTTTCATACTAGTGGTGAAAAAGGATTTGCAGAAGGATTTTTGGATTGATCCCTTCTTGTAAATGCGAACGGTAATTGAAGTAGTATACAACCTCAGTGTTTGTCAAAAAGTTGTTTTTCTTGTGGTCGCCGAAAAACACAGACTTTCTAGATTTGGATGGAAATGAAATCCCAGACTAGCCAGGGCTTGACATTAAAAATACTTATTTCTGCAGAGGTCACTCCTACTAGCCACTTTGGTGGAATTAATTATACATTTTTAAACTTTAGACTTTTAAAAAGTAGGGCTGGGTAATAAATATCGATTTCTCGATATTAATCGATTCTCATTTTTTACAAACCGATATCGATTCTTAAATCTCAAGAATCGATTAGTCATCCTGTTTCATTTAAATGAATGAGACATTGTATCGCGGCTGCGCGCATCCAACAAATCGCAATAATCTTTGTCCTTTGTTACTATTGATATGAAACAAAGTCTCAATTTTCAAATTACGTCCATTTTTTTTAGAAATTCAAAAACATAAATAGCTTTTTGGCGCTGTGGCCTGAGATCGCTCTGGCGCATCTCCAGAGAAGCAGCAGCGCTGATCTCTCTTCCGGGTTAATAATTCCGGTCACAGCGCGAAATAAAGATGAATGAGCATCTGAAAGTGTGTTAAAAGATCGAGTACAACTTATCTAAATCCGTATCATGTCACATTGATTCGCTCAATCTGCGTTTCAACCGTGGAAAGACGTCAATTAAACAGCTTGTAATCAATGTCATGTATCGTCATATTTACCTCAGAAAACGCACATAAACTCGTTAGTCCACACTCGTTGGTGTTCTTCAATATTTAATGCATATTTGAATAAATCTGGCAAGTTTTTAATGACAGCCACCATTTAAATTTTGATATTTCATATAATCTTCTTATTATAAAAATAAATAAAAGTGAATTTTGAATTGAGAAAAATTGCCATTTATTGTAACTGATATCCAAAATAATCGATATTGAATCGAATCGAAATCGAATCGAATTGCAAGCTTGTGAATCGAAATCGAATCGAATTGTGAAATTTGTCTCAATACCCAGCCCTATTAGAAAGTCACCACATCCAATGTAGTGTTGTGAAAAATATAGATTTTTCTATACATATTGATACTGAAATATCTGAAACACTTTCAGTGCTCATCTTCCACAGAACAGATACACAATACCAGCTGCTCTTTCTCGCTCTCTCATCTCTCCGACAGCGAGTTACACACGTCACTCGCTTGTTTCATTTGCTCCAGATCAATAGTGTTGTTGTTACAGGGCTTGAATTTAAGTGTGAAATTGTGCATATTTTTACTCATTCATTGACAAATTTGTTCTTTTTCACTTCTTATTGCACTTATTGCACCATGTTTCCTTATTTGACAAACAGTCAAATACGCACAAAATAATGTCAAAATGCCGGTCTTGGCTAGTATTCACGTAAACAGTAAGTTATGTTTTAAGTGAATGTGGCAAAATTCAGTTGAGAAAGAAAATTAATGTAAAAGTAGTATAATGGATCCATGAGTCAGGTCTTAAAGTGACAGCAGCCTGATATACCTGCTGCCAAATGATGAGATAATATTAAAAATATCTAAATGGCAGGTTTTCCCCATGGCATCGACGTCAAAATTGTGGCCAGTGAAAATGCTGAGTGGCTAGTTAATTTGGAAAACGAGATGGTCCTCAACTGCAGAACATGAAATCCATGGGGAGGAGTTGGATGCAGATCCAACTCCTCCCACCTTACATATGCCTAAACCTACCCAGCTCCACCCCCTGATCCCTAAACCCACCCCTAAACCTACACAGCTCCACCCCCTGATCCCTAAACCTATCACTAAACCTACCCAGCTCCACCCCCTGATCCCTAAACCTACCCAGCTTCACCCCTGATACCTAAACCTATCCCTAAACCTACCCAGCTCCAACCCCTGATTCCTAAACCTACCCAACTCCACCCCCTGATCCCTAAACCCACCCTTAAACCTACCCAACTCCACCCCTCAGATCTAGATCCGACTCCACCCCCTGGATCTCGTGTACTGCAATGAGGTGCTACTGTGGAAAAGCACTAGCCACAGAAATGTGACGATACCAGCATTTCCCTCTAGCATTTTGAGCGCTGTTGAACAGATTCTTAAACACCTCTAATTGGCCATTGTGATGCCACGCTCCATATATATGTCTCGGATTGGCTACAATTATCGACAATGATAGTTTTGACGCTTTTCACCAAGCGCTTACACAGATACACATGTAAGCATTTAAAAGCAGGCGTATATCAGCGGATCCCTAATTTATCCACTGATATATGGTGCTTTCAATACTCCCGTTTGTATCTGTGTAAACGCTTGATAACAGATGATAAAAAACAGGTTTTTGAAGCATTGATCAGTGTAGCCAATCACTGACATATATGTTGAGTACGTCAACAAAATGGCCAATCAGAGATGTTCAAGAATGTTCTCAAAAAGTGAGGGAAATGCCAGTATCTTTTTTTTTTTACTCTTTTTTAAGTACTGACTTGGTACCGAAGTTGCTATTTTTGACAACTCTAGTGGCTGGTGAGGAAAAAAGTCAATGTCAAGCCCTGAGACTAGCCCATGTAAATGTTGAAATGACCGTACATCCCCATGAGAAATGATTATCATCAAAAAATGAATAATGCTTCAGTCTCCTTGAGGTTTGTCTGACACATGCTCAAATTCTTAAAATCTGTGACTAGCACTGGGCTCGATCTGTGATTGAGAAACCAGCCCTGGAAGCGTGTGCTTAAATAAGCTGTCATTTCTCCACAGAACTTCTGAAGGAGGCCATGAAGCTCACGGAGTGTGAACAGGTACGCCTAGATGCTCATTATTATTATTATTATTTTGCTGTGTGGATCGTGGATAGATCAGTTCTTGAGATGTTCAGATGTTTTTCCCTCGGCAGGCACGCTTGTCTCTGGAGCTTCAGAGGGACAGTCACATCAAACAGCAGAGACTGATCGAGGAGCGATGGAAGCGAGCTAAGCGAGAGGACAAGCCCAGAACGCTCCAGCCCGTCTCCTCCTCGGACCAGACGCCACGCCGTTACCTACAGCCAGAAGGAACGGCCCAACCCTCCGAACGCGAGTACGACACCTGGCTGTACCTCCTGAAGAACAAAGGCACCGTCCCAGAGCCCTGCACCGGCAGCAAAGCCCAGAAAGACGACAAAACCCGTCTGGAAGAGCAGCAGACCACCATCAATGACCTACGCAAGCTGGTGGACCGCCTGGTGTCTGATAACGAGCGGCTGAAAGAGGAGAACGAGCGGATACGGGCGGAGAACGTGCGGCTGAAGAAGGAACACTACGCCGATGCAGACTTCGTGGAGAAGTCTGAGCTGTGGGTGCTTCCGCAGACGGCCGAGGAGCGCAAGGCCAAGGACATTCCCATCCCACAGCTCCCTCCACTGGAGATGCCCACTCAGGAGATCCCTCTGGAAGACCTGCCTGGGCTGGAGCTTCCTGAGGACATCCAGCAGGAGCTGCAGGAGCTGCTGGACGGAGAGAAGCTGTGAACACTCACACACCAAAGGGAGACTTCCATCGCCATCGAGTGCCAGAGGAAGCGCATTAGAACGATCTGAGAAGGCACTCGGCGGCGTAAGCAATGGTTCACTCGGCCGTGAGCAGGTTTGGTTCACGACTTTTCTCAGTGGCGCCCGTAGCGATTGGATGTATACGATAAGAAAGAAACTCTATTTGAAGTACGTGTGCCTTTTTGAACATTTCGAACACATTTTTTTGTTGTTGTCGTTATGAAGTTCTCGTGAAAAGGGACGTTGGAGATGAACAGATTCTGTCGGACACTATGCTATCAGACTTTTTATCAGCAAAATCCCACTTGAAATTGAAAAAATGTCCTACATAGACACTGTGAATTACATTCATAATGTGTGTTTTGTGTGTGTGTGTGAGGGTTTCGTGCAGTACCGTTGACGTTGCGTCGACGTTGGTGTTCATGCAGTTTCAGTCGTCTATCAACGCAGATTTAGGGCATAAAGGAAGCCAAGAGGCATCAATACAATTAGTTCTGCATTCTGCTTCCACACACAGATAAGCAGCTTTGCAGCAGCAGCTCTCGTTTCGCCTTATTGCAGAAGTCCTGTGGACTAGAACCAAGCCCAGTCATGATGTCATCTCTGCCAGATCGCTAATAACCGTGGATTATTTCTATAGAAGGGACTTTGGGACTGAACATGAGTGTGAAACTATTGCATTCAGAACTATAAGCAATAATCATGTCATGTGCTCCAGTATCACTTCTTCGTTTCTCATCTCTACTGTTTCCTGCTCTTCAGCATAGGAATGGACTTGTCCCGAAACCTTCACTCTCTGTCCACATCAGGAACTCTGGATGAACTGACGTTGTTATTAGTTCTTTTGAAGCTTCGTTTTGTATTGTACTCATCAATCAAGGATCGTCTGGATCACGATGCTAATATTTTCAGGTTACTGATTGCACAATCATACATTGTCTAACAAAAAAAGCAGGTTCACTCCTCACACTTATCAAAAGCGTACCAACATGTGCCAGACGCGCCTGGGAAGAGATGAATTTATGGCTCATATTTTTGGTCATGAAGAGGGAACCAAATCCAGATTTTTCTTTTATTATTATTATTATTATTTTTTTCATAATGTTTTAATTACTGGTTTACCACAGTAATCAGGGTGCATCAGATTTTGTTATTTTACCTTTTGTTTTATGATGTAAAAAAATCAATGAAAATCATACAATGAAAGTGTTTTGATGCATGAATGGCTGTTCTACAGTAGATGTACGTACATGATTAAGATATTGAAAACAAGAATTTATGTATAATTCTTTTGTGAGTTTACTTGTTCTGACAAGCATTAAAGATTTTAACATGTGGAAGCATTAATCCGAGTTGTTTGTCCACCTGCTGTTATACTCTTATACTAAATATAGTCAAGTAACAAAGGTTAATTAGATGAGCGACATTCAAAGCTATAGTAAAACAGCAAAGTGGTACACATTTGTGACTGCACATTTGATGAATTCAGTGCTAATGCACTCATTTCTATGCTATTTCTTCAGGATATTAAAATAAATTCTTCATTTTCAATTAATAGTTAAAATATTCCAAGCTGTCTCTATTAAATATGAGGACATCGTTTCTATTTCTAAATTTTGTCCACAGCTCAAAACCGTCCACAGTCTTGTGCCCAATCTGTGAATAACAGCATTTTTTTTTACAATGTGGACACAATTTATTTATGTTTATTTTATTTAACCTTTATTTAACCAGGTAAGCACGTAGAGAACACTTTCTCAGTTGAAACGGCGACCTGGCCAAGAAAAAGCGAGGGTGCATGACATTTTTGAGAAACTCAAAATTGCGACAGTGTTACTCCTGTTGTTGTTGGTTTTTTTTGGTGCGAAAAAATAAGTTTCTCCAATCTTCTTGAAACTCTGGATTCTGATAGAGGGCCATGAGACTTAAATCTGAGTGCAAAAATGGAGGCTCTAGACCCTTCCAGGGTCTACTTAATTTTTCGCCCGAAAAAAAACCCGAAAGGGGTACCATTGTCGTTTTTTCTTTTGGGTCGAATTTTTAAGTTTCGATATCTCAGCTCTGGAAGGGTCTAGAGCCTCCATTTTTGCACTCAGGTTTAAGTCTCATGGCCCTCTATCAGAATCCAGAGTTTTGAGAAGATTGGAGAAACTTAATTTTTCGCCCAAAAAAAAAAACGAAAGGGGTACCACTGTCGTTTTTTTTTTTTGGGGTCGAATTTTTGAGTTTCGATATCTCAGCTCTGGAAGGGTCTAGAGCCTCCATTTTTGCACTCAGGTTTAAATCTCATGGCCCTCTATCAGAATCCAGAGTTTTGAGAAGATTGGAGAAACTTAATTTTCCGCCCAAAAAAAAAAAACGAAAGGGTTAATAAAATAACATTGTATTTTTTTTTTCGGGTCGAAATTTTGAGTTTCGATATCTCAGCTCTGGAAGGGTCTAGAGCCTCCATTTTTGCACTCAGGTTTAAGTCTCATGGCCCTCTATCAGAATCCAGAGTTTTGAGAAGATTGGAGAAACTTAATTTTTCGCCCGAAAAAAAAAAAACACGAAAGGGGTACCACTGTCGTTTTTTTTTTCGGGTCGAAATTTTGAGTTTCGATATCTCAGCTCTGGAAGGGTCTAGAGCCTCCATTTTTGCACTCAGGTTTAAGTCTCATGGCCCTCTATCAGAATCCAGAGTTTTGAGAAGATTGGAGAAACTTAATTTTTCGCCCAAAAAAAAAAAACGTAAAGGGGTACCACTGTCGTTTTTTTTCGGGTCGAAATTTTGAGTTTCGATATCTCAGCTCTGGAAGGGTCTAGAGCCTCCATTTTTGCACTCAGGTTTAAGTCTCATGGCCCTCTATCAGAATCCAGAGTTTTGAGAAGATTGGAGAAACTTAATTTTTCGCCCGAAAAAAAAAAACGAAAGGGGTACCACTGTCGTTTTTTTTTTTGGGTCGAATTTTTGAGTTTCGATATCTCAGCTCTGGAAGGGTCTAGAGCCTCCATTTTTGCACTCAGGTTTAAGTCTCATGGCCCTCTATCAGAATCCAGAGTTTTGGGAAGATTGGAGAAACTTAATTTTTCGCCCAAAAAAAAAAAACGTAAGGGGTACCACTGTCGTTTTTTTTTTTCGGGCCCAATTTTTGAGTTTCGATATCTCAGCTCTGGAAGGGGCTAGAGCCTCCATTTTTGCACTCAGGTCTAAGTCTCATGGCCCTCTATCAGAATCCAGAGTTTTGGGAAGATTGGAGAAACTTAATTTTTCGCCCAAAAAAAAAAACGTAAGGGGTACCACTGTCGTTTTTTTTTCGGGCCGAATTTTTGAGTTTCGATATCTCAGCTCTGGAAGGGGCTAGAGCCTCCATTTTTGCACTCAGGTCTAAGTCTCATGGCCCTCTATCAGAATCCAGAGTTTTGGGAAGATTGGAGAAACTTAATTTTTCGCCCCCAAAAAAAAAACGTAAGGGGTACCACTGTCGTTTTTTTTTCGGGCCGAATTTTTGAGTTTCGATATCTCAGCTCTGGAAGGGGCTAGAGCCTCCATTTTTGCACTCAGGTCTAAGTCTCATGGCCCTCTATCAGAATCCAGAGTTTTGGGAAGATTGGAGAAACTTAATTTTTCGCCCCAAAAAAAAAACGTAAGGGGTACCACTGTCGTTTTTTTTTTCGGGCCCAATTTTTGAGTTTCGATATCTCAGCTCTGGAAGGGGCTAGAGCCTCCATTTTTGCACTCAGGTCTAAGTCTCATGGCCCTCTATCAGAATCCAGAGTTTTGGGAAGATTGGAGAAACTTAATTTTTCGCCCAAAAAAAAAAACGTAAGGGGTACCACTGTCGTTTTTTTTCGGGCCCAATTTTTGAGTTTCGATATCTCAGCTCTGGAAGGGGCTAGAGCCTCCATTTTTGCACTCAGGTCTAAGTCTCATGGCCCTCTATCAGAATCCAGAGTTTTGGGAAGATTGGAGAAACTTAATTTTTCGCCCAAAAAAAAAAAACGTAAGGGGTACCACTGTCGTTTTTTTTTCGGGCCCAATTTTTGAGTTTCGATATCTCAGCTCTGGAAGGGGCTAGAGCCTCCATTTTTGCACTCAGGTCTAAGTCTCATGGCCCTCTATCAGAATCCAGAGTTTTGGGAAGATTGGAGAAACTTAATTTTTCGCCCAAAAAAAAAAAACCGTAAGGGGTACCACTGTCGTTTTTTTTTCGGGCCGAATTTTTGAGTTTCGATATCTCAGCTCTGGAAGGGGCTAGAGCCTCCATTTTTGCACTCAGGTCTAAGTCTCATGGCCCTCTATCAGAATCCAGAGTTTTGGGAAGATTGGAGAAACTTAATTTTTCGCCCCAAAAAAAAACGTAAGGGGTACCACTGTCGTTTTTTTTTTCGGGCCGATTTTTGAGTTTCGATATCTCAGCTCC